GTTAATAAATATCAGGAAGAGGACTGGGCCTAGGATGGTCCCCTATGAAACTCCCGATGTGGATACTCGCCAACTCGCGTGCACTCTATTTACCTTGGTGCGAAACTTTCTATACTCAAGGTAGTTTCTGAGTCAAGATAAAAGTGGGTCAGTGAAGCCCATTTTCACAACCTTTTCGATTAGGCGTGCGTGCGGCACTGTGTCAAAGGCCTTTGCAAAGTCGGGAAATATTACGTGTACCGGTATTTTACGGTCCAAGCAGGATGTCCAACTGTCCCATGCGATGAGGAGATTAGATGCACACTACCTGCCTTACCGAAACCCGTGTTGAGCGTCATAGAGTAATTTATTCTTATCCATGTACTCCCTCATTTGTTCGTCCACTAGTCCTTCCATAACCTTTGATATTATTGGTAGTAGACGACTGGTCTGTAACAGGCTGGGTCCTTTCTATCTCCTCCTTTGAAGATTGAAGGGAGAGTAGCTTGTTTCCATTCAGCTGAGAATTGGTGTGACTCCAGTGAATGCCTGAACAGGTCGCATAACGGTGAACAGAGGACTTCAGCATATTGTTGCAAGACTATGGGGCGAATTTTGTCACAACCTGGTAACTTACCTGGGCGTAAGGATTTTAGCTTCCTTAATACTAGGTCAGGAGTGATACGGATGTTCCCTAAGCCGTCAGCTGACAGTGGGTTGGCGTGATACTCTGGACATTGGTGTTGAAGATATCAGCCGTCTCTAGTTTGGTGAGGTCTTACCCGTTTGGTCCTTTTAGAGAACACAACCCTTGATTAGTGGGCTTTATTTTCGACATGAACCTAAACAGATGCTTCGCGTTTGCCTCTATTCTGGCGGCTAGTTTCATCTGAAATTGTCTCCTGTCGCTTCGAGCTTTGGTATTGCATCTGTTTCTCAATGCCAAGTCAGAACGGCGATTGGATTCCTTCTAGGAGACCTTCCACTTGCGCCAGGCTCTCCTCTTCCCAGGCAGCAAGCGTTCAGTGCCGCGCCTAACCCAGGTTCTTATGTTCTTGCGTTTTTGGTGTGACTGAGGTACAATGTCTACGACTGCATTCTGGATGATATCTCTCGCTGTTTGCCAGTGGTCATTTACTCTCAGCCTCCACCACTCCCGTGGCCATGGGGCATGTAATAGGACCTCTCTCGTGCTTATGTTGTTTGCACTATTGTAGCAAAGGTAAGGCTCGTTATCGTCCCGTGTGAAAGTTTCGTTTATGACCATGTTACACAAGACTGTTCCATGGTCACTGCTACCTATTGGTGCGCGGACGTGGCACTGCATACGTGCTCAGTCAGCCCAGAGCTTCTAACGGCTGTACCAAGTTGTCTTTGGAACCAACCAGTGGGAGTTATACTCTGATTGCTGAGATTTAAAGATGGGGTAATGAAATCCCCATCTAAGAGTATTTGATCAAACCCCAGGAGTGGGAGTTGCAGTATTACCTCAGTGAGTTTGCTTTTCTGGGTCTTAGTACTCGAAGGAGGTCGGTAGATCCCTCCAATCAAGTATATATATATATATATATATATATATATATAGCCACTCCACCTCCAATTTGGTGCTCCCTATCGCTTCGGAAGAGTGTCATGACTGGTAAGCTCACTTCTGCATCTGCAATGTCAGGGGATACCCATGTTTTAGTTAGGACTATGATCTTCAGATCCATCTGAGAGCACGTATTCCTGATTTCTAACAGCTTACCCCTTAGTTCTCTTACGTTGCTATAAAGGCACTTGGTGGTTTGTCTCAGCACCTGGTGCACATTTGCAGTAGCAGCCGTTGTCGGATTTTCAGACAAGTTATTGAAACCGAATCGGCCAGTTCTTTGGGAACTGGCCTCTGCAGGTTTTTTGCCTGCGCGGTTGGTTCACTCATATCTTGTGCCAGAGGTAGTTGACCGAGTTTCACTATCAGTTTTGTGCGTTCATTTTAGCCTCCCTGCTGTTGTCTCACAGATCTAGGTCGGCTATCCCAACATCTGATGTGGCTAGACAGATCGTTCCTCGAACTGTACTAAGCTTGTAGCGTTTCAGTCAGGTCTTCCCGGTTCCTAAATGTTACAGCCAGAAGGGGTGGTGACTTGATAAACGTAAGGTGTAACGGGCGGGGCAACCTAGAAATGCAAACTGCAATCATGGTGTGGAGGGATAGACTACGCGATAGCCATCGCCACTGTTGCACATCGTGCTCGTGTGCTTCGTCCGGGTTACCGCTGGTGCGTTCGGGTATACCGTGAACAACCATGGTGGTCTGTTCTTGGGTGTCTGGCGCAGTTCTGGCTGCTGCACGTACCGACCACGGCTTGTCATGCCTGATACGAATCAGCGAGGACAATTGGACCGATGTTCTTTGGGATGAAAGGATAATGTCTTCAGCAAGTCGTGCCGAGTCAAGAGTTACCCTCATTGAAGGGAGTTTTCCTTTCGAGATATTTTGGCCTTTGAAAAGGCGGCATATTTTAGCTGAGACGTCGCACATTCCGAAGGTTGTTCAGTGTTTATCTCACTGCTCTTTATCGAAGGCAGATCTACCTTCTAGCAAGCTTTCTTCCGATACTGAGACATTAAATAAAATGAGTGAGTTTGATCGGTCGTCCCTGTTCTTGGGTGGTAGCCGCTTGTGAGTTAGGGTGTTGCTATTTCCCTTCTTCACGTTCACCCACTATTTTGTATTGCTAGCAGATACTGGGGGGTTAACAACAACCGGATGTTTTGTCGGTGTGTTAGGCAGGGTTGTAGAAGCCTTGGTCACTTGTTTTACTGGTTTAGTGCCAGGCGATTTTGGTTTGGTCGTTTGGACTTTAGGGCTGATTTTGGGTGGGACCTGTGGCTTCGTCAGTGCCTCAGAAACTCTACAACGAGGGCAAATGTACCAGAACCATGGGCAAGGGTGACTCAGCATGAATCTGTAGTACTCTGTACTGTACTGTAGTGTCGCAGTGACAATGTACCCATGTACTACAGAAGTTGCATTCGAAAGCACGGTCGCTGATTTTGACTGATAATGAGCAGGCAAAACAGTCATCCTTATGCTGTTTCTTGGCGTTGAACTGTGTTGACTGAGCCTTGGAGCGTCTTTTTCTCCTATTCTTAACTGGCTTACTGGTCTTTTTAGGAATAGGAGTGGTGTCTTGCTTCCTTTGTGGTGTCTGTATTGAGTGATCTAAAGTGTGGACACCGAGAGGCGTACTATCGACTGACTGGGTTCTTTAACAACGTGTTCGCACGATATTAGGATTTTCGACGTGTAGTGCCTCCACATTTATTTGCATCCGCTTACATTTAATTTGCTTAAGCCCTATCGATTAATTTATTTAACCAAGCCATTTGTATAGCAACAACTCATATGTACCATTGGTATTTTTTATTATCTGGTTTGTATGAGCTTATGCGACTGAGCATTGCTTACGCCCACGCGCTTACTCATCCTTTTCGCTTTAATGTTAAGCCCTTAATTTCCCCATGAACTCACATGATTTGTATCGCTTGCTTTTGTCCTTGTCAATCATTCGTCGCTTATATTCATGTGTGTGCATACCTATTTCGCTTGTCATATGTCTGTCTTATTTTTGGTCTGACTATATATTCTTAGTCATGTTCTATCTTTTTGAGTTGGCTCTTAGCCTTCTCCAATTCGCTTCTCCGTTTCGCTTCGTGGTGTGCCTCGAATAAACGTATTCATCAATACGAGTTCGTCTTCTGATTTATAAACCGAGCTTAAGAACACTCAGTAAATCGGCACACTACAGAATCACTATCGACCCCGGGGTTTATACCTGTACAAGTATTCTGGTTTTTGTAGTGTAATTTTTACTAGCGAACTTATTACTTAACATGATACCAGGGAGATTAGGAGGTGAATACCGAGATAATTAGAATACGAGATACACAAGAAAGGGATTCAGGAAAGAAGAAATTTAGTAGTATATAATAGAACTAAAAGGAATAGAGCCTGAAAGTACTCCGAAACTGCAACTTTACCTTTGACCGTATTAGTAAGTAACTTTGCGGGCATCCAGTAACTTGTCAAAAAGTCCTGTGTTTGTCAGTGACTGGATGTATGTATGCTGCCGAAGCAACTAGGAAAAAAGCAGTTGAATGAGGCAGCTAGACATACTGCGCAATGGTTCCGTTTGCCCGAAAATGTTTTCAGATTGCCAACCAATCAATGGAGACAGCTATTTATAGCTTCGGAGGTGATAAAGTATCTATGATAATTAGAAGTATTTGTATTTTAGGGTAAACTAATAATCCAAGAAACAACGTAAGTGAATCAAGAACTACAAGATGAACACGAAAGAATGTATTGTATTTAGAATTCGAAATCAAGCATTCTACAACAACCAAGAAGTCACTAGTTCATTCAAACACCACAGTATCCCGAAAGTGGATTGTTTCCCGTAAAAGGAAGGGAGTTAGCGAGGACACGCGCGTTTAGACGAACAATCATATATTTATCTAACCACTAATCACAACCCTGTTGCTAAGACTTTTCTTATGTAGAATTTTTGTTAAGAAGAATTTCCATCAAGGTTATCAGATCTAAAAGAACACTTATGTCGAAAACAAAATATTCAAATGCAATATTATGAGAGCGAGCCTTAAGTTATCTCACACGGTGCTTGTAGCAAACAAGTAATCTATGACATAGTATATCCTCTCGCTGTGTTTTACAGAACAGGATGACTCCGAGAGCGCAACAGCGAAACTAACAGTTTGAGAGAAAATAGCACGTATAAAGAACAAAGACAATTGAACTGAACAATGTATTTCTTAACTCTATATACACTGAATATTACACTATCAAACCAGAATATCTGTCTCATATAAAACTGAAATGGAATATAAAGGACGCTTCCTGACCTTCCCTTTTTAATATAAATACACAAGTAATCATCTCGGATTACTTTGAATGGATGGAATACAAGGTCACGTTGTGACCTAAACTCTGTGTGTAATTCAGTGTTCGGGATTTAGGAATGTAGTGTCGTTAATTTACTGTTTCGATCATCATCATATTTTTAATTTCGAGAGACTATAATTTTTGCGTGATTATTGAGCTACTCCAAAGTAATCTTGATAAAATATACTAACTAAGTCTGAAGAAAACCGTAATTAGATTTTAGAATTAGGACATTGATGTAGTAAATTATATTCGGGGCTAAAATTCCAAGCTGATTTGATCGATAATTTTGAGATGCTACCTTTTTATAGGGATGGATCGATGTTTCATTGAGATCCATTTCTCTTTAACACTAATTCGATTGATTTGTTCTTAAATCACATCTTGTCTTTTTTTACTTTTTATTTCATTCTAGATTCAAACGTATACTGCTCTTCTCACCTTTATAGTACACAGCGTGCCTTCAAGCTAGACATAAATCTCAATCCTGGACTCTACATGATGTGTGATTCAATTTTTCATCGTAACTGCAAGTAAGCGTTCAAACTACGTGAAGTTAGTCTCAAGTTTCTATTTCAGTGCTGAACATTCTCGCGTTGAGTGGAAGGAGAGCATCAAAAATATCTTGGTTGTTCACAAACTATGTGATCTTAATGTCGTTGAAAGTTTGAAGTCGTTTGTTCATTATGTTCTGAAGGTTTGATTTCAGTCATTTTTCTTGTTCATTACTTTGTTCTTAGTCATAACTATCAGAATAGTTTTGTAAACAAACACCTTTATCAGTCATTGCATATTACTGTTTCATACCTTGACATGTAGCATCAATCACTTTGTCCCCAGTTCTGTTAAAGCTCGTTGTAATATTCAAACACGTTTTGGAATAATGTGGTATATTTATTCACATAATTACCCGAACAAATTTTAGTGAAGGAGAAAACAGGTGAGGGCAACCGAATTGTATTTACCGAAAATTACAGAGTTACTCAGTAAAATAGGAAAACCATATCGTAAACGGTTAATTTGCAAATCATCAATCCATTGTCTGACATTTCACTATTCATGCGTTTCATACAAATTCCATTGTGTTCCCACTCTTCCTTTCTTGATCTTCCCCCATCTTCTGCTGCCAGACATTACGTTTTCACTTGCGTCATATACTACTTATAAGTAGCGCGCACCACAAAATGACTTAATCTGTTAGGAGCACCCGTTATCAGCAAGCATTGTAATAAGGAAGGCTTCAGGATTTCGTTTTTAGTCGAAATGTCGTTGTTTTTATTCTAATGTCGATTGCGCAGAGTGTTTGTATTCGCATGCGGTCGTGATTTTAGAAAGGTTATTGCTTAAACTGGTCATTTTTCACTGGGAAAAAAAATTAAAAAGTATATGTTTAAAAAATAGGCTTATCGACCATTATTAAACCAGTAATCGGATCGTTTTAGTTAGTGATCAGCAAATGTCACCATATGATTTGCCTTATTTTGAAAGAATAGTCATATAAACCCTATGTTCACCAGATCGGCACCCCAGTTTCCTGTTGCTAGAGCTGTATTCAACTACTTCAGTCAATTTTTGCTGGCACTTTTGTGATTAATTATACTTTTGATTTAAAGCTTACTCAACTCTCAAGCTTGCTGGGCACCCAATTTATTTAAACATTGATTAAACACTAATCTTGTTTTACAGATGAAAGTAATACTCGCGGGAGACAGTATTAAATATAAATCATTCATAAATTATAAAAATCCTGTGAAGTGCCCATTATCGTTATTTGTATATAGTTCTCTGTATACAGTCTTAACTTTTGATAAGAAAATGAAATTATAACCTCATTTGACTGCACATTGCGATATTATTATCTCAAAAAGGCTAGCAGTACATATAATTGATGGTTTTCCCAAGCAGCAGTGATCATGGTTTTTGGGGTTGTGTGGTCTCAATTACCTCCATGAATTAATATTTCAGTTGTGAATAGTGTTTTAAGAACATAATAGAAGACTATAAAGCGTCTAAAAAACAACCCATTGTCGGCAATCTGCACATAAATTTCCTTTTTAATGATCTGCAAGATAATATAGGCTTGTATTTTGAATTAACCACCTAAGTATGTTGTGTGTCATTATTCCTAAAATCTATTATGGTGCTTGTTGCATAAGTCATTGATCTATGTCTAGTACTTGGATAAAGGTTATAACTCCTAGACGCGCTACTATTTATACACTTTTGCTCGGGTTATTAATTACTGAGTGCTTACTTAAAAAACGGTCGTCTTATGATATCTGGATAAATTTCTGTCTTTTTATCATTAATCATAGAAATGGGATCTAACTATCTATCTAGAGCCGGTTGCCCTAGATGAACTGAAGAATGATGATTTATTCTACCCAATTATTCAGAAGTATGTAAGTTTGGGAAAAGGTGAACTCACACAAGCTACTGTTGTACAAGATGTTTGTGGACTTCATGAGAATACAGCAGAAAGTTCCCCTAAAATCAATACAAAAAGCTCGGTTAGAGTCTTTGATCAGACTGTGAGAAACAAAATCGACTTAATTGTTTGTCTTGGTGGTGACGGGACTCTTTTACAAATTGGATCGATGTTCCAGGTATATTTATAGTCATGTGTTTGAGTTTTTAACTCTTTTGTAAGAACAAGATTGTGAAGTCCTGGTGATATTTGTACAAAAGGACTTTTGGGAGGATACTGTCTTTAAATAAGGTGGTTTACTAGGTAATAAAGTAACTCTAGTATTTTAAGACTTTTAAATAACTATATAACTTTTTGATAGTTTTATACTTTATCTGTTTACTTATTTCAATTCATAAACATTGTTTAAAGGAGGCACCAAATTATACAAGCATCACACAATAAATATAGGATTGTGAACAGAGAGAAAGGATTAAATAAATGGTTTTGGTCAGCGTTTTTCTGCAAGATGGTTTCCTATGGAATGAGTGTAGTAAAAAAATGAATAGGAATAGTTGTATGGAAGTGAACTAAAATAATGATTTGATCATTTTAACAAAGAAAAACACAATGACAAAAGATTCAATTAAAGACGTTCGCCTCACTTATATGAAGAAAGGTACAACAGGATCGCCACTGACTTCTATTCTGAACCATGTCTGATAACGTCTCCAGTCCTTGTGCTGATCCATCTTTATTACTTTAACAGGGGAGTCACGAAGAACCACAAGAAGCCAGCCCTGTACATCTTACATACGACGATGCTATGTCATACACTGACCACTTCTCCGATTTTTCCAGTCAGTTCCAATGTTGTTTAACAATGTACGATGTTCACGCTCAAACCACCGAGATCGATGTTTCAAGATGGTGACATTGAATAATTGTTGTCGCTTTACCCGAACACACTTTTCCGAACCTCTGCATTGTTTATTGATAACAGTGATCAGACGTAGAATTGTCTATTGTCCTCAACTCAGGCGGAAAGGCTAGTACTCAAGTATAGAGCAATGTTGTAGACCCGAAACGTTACAGCTAAACTGACCATCACTAAGGTGCTAAAGATGGCCTATGTCGGCATAAGCCCCCTGGCCTTCACTATACGTGGATTGGTCTTATCACTCCCGCCACCATCAGCACATCACAACTACCCGTATACACGAACTTATCGACTACTTCTAACTGATCAGTACCAAGAGTGAGTGAAGGCACAGTGTCCTACCAGTTTTATAAAAGTACTTTGCACTTCGAAGGTATACAGCACACGTCATACTTATAGTCACTGATTACCAGCTGATAAAATGCAGATTGTATGGCTTGGGAATCATCGCACAGTAAGATAATGTCATCCGCATACTCAAGGGAGAAAATTTTCTCCAGGTAATATATTCGAACTGCCATTATCTACACATATAGGGTCTTCAGGATAAACGCTCTTCTTCAAGAGATAGTCGCAGAGGACGATCCTGTCCAGCGAATCGAAGGTGGCCTTGATGTCAATGAACAAAACAATTGATGGCTTGCAGAAAGCATAGTGGTGTTCCGGCATTTGGCTGAGAGTACAGATATAATCAGTACATCATTGACTAGAACGTAAACCAACCTACTCCTCGCGAGTCAATCTTTCCTGGGTTTTAAAAATTCTGCAATACCTAGTGGAAGCCAGTAATTCAGACATAGTAGAATTGGATTTATTACCAAATAGCTGTTGCATAAGTAATGTAGACGCTTCCTAAAGTTAGGGACAATTATCAACGCATTTTAGGACGTTAGAACATTCTAATTGCTAAACTATTGCAAACAATTTAGTCATTTTCTTAGCCAAAAGGTCGTAACCACCCTTTAGTAGGGTCCGAGTTAATTTATCTGGGTCTCGTGATTTGCGCCTTAAACCATATTACTGTATACTATGTAACATTTAGGAAAAATATTTACTTCTTTGAATCTTGTCTTAAAAACCGTCGATACAGACTGCAACTAACTGTTAGTATTTTACACATATCTAAATCCTTGTGCAGTTCTCGCTCTGATATGTAGCTTCTGTGCTTATTTTCAATGAGATTAGTCTCCAGTTGATAACTTTTTTACCATAGACAAAGTCGAAAATACAAGAATAGTAAAATTATCCCTAAATAATGACACATTTTATTATTTACATTAATTACACTTAGTGGTAAAGTGAGCAGAAAGTTTTTAACATCTTTTCGTTTGAATACAAAATTGAAAGCTTTACACCGCATGCGTTTATATCTTGACTGTTAATATTCACAATAGCGAAGCCTGAGGTGTTAAAGAAAACCTTCAGCTTAGTAAAAAATCATATTTCATACTAAATACTTTCATTAGGTAGCTTGTTTACAAACTATATGTCATATATATATGCCAACTTTCTTACCTTGCAGTTTTTCTCCTTAATTATGCAGGGAATTGCTCCACCTGTAATCGCATTTCGTCTGGGCACACTTGGATTTTTGACTCCGTTTCCTTTCAAGATGTTTAGAACCCAAATGAAGAGTGTTCTTGAAGGTTAGTTAATACTTATAATGATCGGTGACTAAATCCTAAGTACCTCATCGTAGTGTATTTCGTCGTATATGGTGATAATATCCCCGACCGTAGCCGCTACCTTGACGTGGTGGTCGGGCTTGCCTATCGTTATGACCCAGCCGAGCTATATTGGCTGGAAAATATGTTCCTGTAGGTTCTACTATGTCAGGCAGGTCGATTGGAGAACGATGAGACTAAAAGCAACTACTCAAGGTCTTAGGGCGAAGTCGTACTTCAGAGAGGTGTGACAGCAGTAAGGTGTTTCCCTCGGACAACCGGCATCTGCAGCGGTGCTGCCTTCTCGCAAAGAAAAAAGGGGCTAGAAAAAGTTAACCCTAAAAATGTCATACCTCACCTTACCTCACGAATTTTCGCCTCCAGCGGTAAGGGCTGCTTAATAAGGGCTTTTAAGCAAGAGTGGAGCTAACACTTCGTAAACTTCTCGTATAAAGGCCGTGCGTAACCTGCCTCAAGCAGTTGTCCCTTGGGCTCTGCGGTCACGCTCCCAGGTTTTTAAGACCGGCACTAATCTACTTCCATGGTGTGGGCAGCCTGGAAGTGACATCAGCAGTCATACACGTAACAGCATAAGAGGCCAAACTAGGCTCAGTTCGATCTTTCCTACACCCCCTAACATCTATTTTATCTCTACGTCTACCCCTTCTCACATTCCTTTATCACTCTGCACCGCCAATGCCAACGATTCGAGTGCATGAAACGTTACCCCTGGTCTCCTCAAACCCCGTTCTAAACTACACGTTGGGGCTTGTAATGTCCGGACATTGTGTAAAATAGGACAACAGGCTTCCTTATCTAGGACTATAGAATCCCGCGCCATCGGTGTATGCTGCGTCTCGGAAACGCGCATACAGGATCTTAGTAAAATCATTAATTTGATTTCGCCTTGTCAAAATAAAGAACCAGCTCGATTTAATCTTCGTGTATCTGGAAGGCCTGATGCTGCTTCCAGGGGTCTCGCTGGTGTAGGTATAGCATTGAGTTCTGGGGCAGAACTAGCTCTCTTAGACTGGGTCCCAGTAGATAGTCGCTTTTGCGCTGTCGACTGAACGGAACAGTAAGGACTCGGAAATGTAGGGACACTCGCTGTAGCCTCTTCGTCGTATCTGCCTATGCCCCCACTGACTGCAGTTCAGACGAGATGAAAGATGATTTTTACAGAAAGCTTTCGGAATTCCTCCAAAACGTTAGGCACTCTGATGTAGTAATAATGGCTGGTGACTGATGCTCAAGTAGGTAGACTAAGTGAGCAGGAAAGACACCTGGGTGGATCTTATGGTGTCGCGGCTCAGAGAATAGATAATGGCGACCGTTTGTTGCAGCTTTGCTGAGGTAACCGCCTATTCCTAGCAAACACTAATTTTAAGCATAAGGAAAAACATCTGTTGACCTGGCGACCCCCAAAGTCGTCTCAACGTTGGACCCAACTAGACCATATTGCCATAAGCCACCGATGAAGGGGTACGATAGAGGACTGTCGCTCGTTGTGGGCACATGTTTAGATTCAGATAATGCTCTAGTGCGAGCGCATATTTATTTGAGGCTTACTGGACGTAGGAAAGACGCTGCAAGGAAACCTCTTAGGGTTCTACTTAATGATAATAAGGCCGAGAATATATTTCAGGAACAACTAGAAAGTGATTTTAGGCAATCATGTAAGCGATTCTCATCCGGAAGCACGTTGGAATGATATTACAAAGGCTGTGGAAATAGAAGTGATATCTGCTAGTAAGGTAAACCATAAGGCTAGGAGGAAGCCGTGAATCTCAGTAGCTTGTCAACTCATCCCACCTGGCTCTGAACATGATGAGGAGCGGAGTCAACTTAGGTACAGGCTGGTAAAAAGCCAACGCAATGATCGCGAACAGTGGTTGGTGGCGAAAGCAAGAGTGATGGAAAAGGCAGCGGCGATAGGCAACAGTAGACAACTTTTCGACTTATCAAAGAAACCGGCATTATGAATCCGAATGTTAGTGAGAATATTTCTGAAAAAGATGGTCTTATTATTCATTCTCAATTCAGGAGATTAGATCGATGTGCAGAACACTCTAGGAATCAGTTCAACTGGCCTTCAGCCATACTTTAGTTACCCACAATCTACAGTCAAACTGAATGGCAAATCAACGAGTAAGCAATGCTGTCGTTAGGAAATGGGTGCTAGGTAAGTGTGGCAGATCAATAGATGTCGTATTAAAACTTCATCAGTTGAGGTGGTTGGGACATGTGTTGCGTATGCATAACCAACGACTGCCTCGTCGAGCTATGCTTTGCGATGTAGGAATGGGCTGGAAGAAAGCTGGGGTCGGCCAAACCAAACATAGCAGAAATCCATGAAGTCACTGACAGCTGAACTGAGTCATGTTGGTAAATGTAGGCTATCTGGTTGGTGTCCGCGAGATGATAGTAATCGATGTTTAGAGACCCTGAATGACATGGCTCAAAACCGATTGCAATGGCGCGGTGCATTCATTCTTTGTGTTCTCTCAAATCCTAAACTTTTTAATTCTTCATCTTTTTATTTTTAAATTTATTTCATTGGTTTCTACTTCTTGAATAATATCGTCGAACCCTAATCTCTCCGACTACTGCTAATACTTTCACTAACTCTACTACTATGGGATTTGAGTTGACAATTGCATCTCTGTGCTGATGCTTTATGGCAACCTGAACTTATGTACGAAGTTCTGTGTTGTTGTTCACTTGTACATGAATTTATTTATACGCCTAGTTAAACTCATGTTTTGATCATAAGCTTTACTAAACTCATTCGTGAATGAGATAGTGCATGTGTCATTTGCTGTGTTGTACTAAGTTCTTTCACCAATCTTTTGTTTTCATTTATTATGGACGAATACTTATCTATTTGTTCACAAATATTTAATCTCACTTCCAGTCATACTTGCTATCGATTTGCAACTTAGAACTAGAGTTCTAATGATACATTTATTAGTTGAACTATTAGCGATTTTGGGGTACGCAAATGTTTCATCCGGCAATTAGTTGTAATGCTTTGATCAGTGTTATAGATTTTTCGCTACATAACAGGACTATGTCTGAATTGAATCCTAATATAAGGTGTGTCTTTGTTGAATATATTGACCACTTGACATGCTTAATTCATCGCTCTTCATATGGACTGATCAATAATTACACCTGATGTTAACAGAAAAGTGCACTAGTGGCACCTGTAAACTTCAGCGATCCCCAGTAACAATGAGATAGCTTTTCATATACAAACTCTTATCTGAATTATAACGAATTATGCATTGTGTTTTGTGGACAGAACACAAAATCATTACAATAATTCAATTAATGTGTAATTTTAAGTCCTGTTAGTATTTGACAGAAACCTGTTTTAAAGTATACTAATTCTGTGAACGGGTATAATTTGTTATGATGCAATATTTTAGGTAATGGTTTATCTAATTTATAGAAATTTACATTGATTACATTTCCACTTATTTAGTAGTTCTTTAACACAGAACACGCAGACAAAAATGAGAGGAAAACAATTTATATTTCAAATAATCAGAAAAACAAAAAAGTACAGTAGTGAAAGTATAAGCGTGCTTGTAAAATTCTCAAAAGAAACTAGTTTATCCCCAATCTATCCGCTCACACTGACCAATTGAGAATGGACCAGTCGGTGTTTTGCAATCCGAGCTTGGTCTTAGCAAACAATTGTCAAGATTTTATCCTGCTAACAAACTTTATGTTATGAACTTGAACTTATATTCTTTCATCCCATTCAGGTTCATCTTATTGTATATTACGAGCTCGGCTTTGTTGTCAAGTTATTCGTAATAGTGTTACTAATCACAATAACAATAATGATTCCGGAAGTCAAAATACTTCAACTAAAAGTAATCGTTGTAATGATAATCAACCTCAGGCATCCAAATATTCCAACGATACTCCTTCACGCTCTACTTCACCAGATACTGAATATCATGTAAGTAGTATCTTATTTTATTTCTTTGATAATAATTATTAAATTGAATAGAATTCATTCTTTTACTTTTACTGTTTATTATGGCGATTAAGTCAATATTTTTATTTATTTATGTATAAGAGATATTATTTTATAATTTCTACAAAAAAAATTATACTTTCGTAAATACCGTAGTACTTTATAATTACCAACAATCATGTGATTGGAAATAATTTAAGTATGAAAATTGAGTAGTTAGATTTAAGGTGTAAATTGATGCCTCCGTTTAATTCAATATGCATTTAAAAGAATCAGTTATGTATCTACTACAGTGACTGTAGTTTACGAACTGAGTACTTGTCATGGAACATAATTAATAGTGGAACGTGCACTGAAATTCCATGAACAGAATTCACGCTGAGTGAATTTATGTAACGGAAATTTATCTTGTTAAGTTGTATTTGAAGATCTCATATACCCGACAGGTTGTCGATAATACTTTCCACTAAAGTTAGATATGAAAAAGGTCTAGCCATTGTTAGTCCACTGACCCCGATTTTTTCTAACTACGATCCTAGGTCCATGAGATTCCCATTTTATAAGTGCTTTTTGTACTTCTTTGTACAGCATCAGTTTGACTCCTTGTGTTCGAGGTATTTTCTTTGTGGCTAAAGTACTGTGGCGGCGGACTTATTTTATCTCCTGGATTCCGTATATTTACGTCTTGACAGCCGTTACTATAGAACACGGGTTGCTGCCACAATTTCTTTTTTATTCAAAATATATAATTAATGATACAAATATCGGATTTAATACAAATATATGTAGTTGATATTGCCAATGAATTATGTAGACAGTTAATCGATAAATTTAGTCAAATGACTATGTGCATAGGTGGTAAGTAATGCCGAAGCATACATGCGCATACAAGCTCAACAATGAATGATAAAAGTTCAAAATATATGTGACGTGCTACAGTACAACAGCATCTCTTCTGAAGCAATCTTTTGTATCCAGCCTGCGTCCAATGGGTTTCCCTTATTCCAAGCACCACCACGTTGTATCTTTTCATTTCTGTAGCAATTGGAATACTTCTTCCAGTCTGCCAAATTGTAAGGACATTTCGTGTACTTATATTAATTGTTGCTCCGATTGTCAGAAGAGGCATTGTCCTCGTGGCATCCGAAAAAATTCGGGTTGCATCACGAGACGTCATAACCCGTCTAAATGAACACCTTTCAACTCCCAGGGCAGAGTTTAAATGGCTTGAATTATTTGTTCTGGTTAGCGTTTATTTGTTTTCTACGGGACTGTGTTGGTAATCCTATGCCCAACCCTTCTTTATCGGTGCTTGGGACGGGCAGCAATCCTAGAAGGGTTCGAGGTGCAGTTATCAACAACATACTGTACATAATTTATCCTGTCATATTTTTTTCTAGTTTTTCTGTGCTGTTTAATAGTGTGGTACCTTGGACTGATGAGCATTTTTAGGAGATTCCTGTAAGAGAATATGCAGTCGAAAAGTACTCTTTGCATATTATTTTCTCTTCATTGCGAAAATTCATTCTAGGTTTTTCCCCAACATTTTTAATGTCCAATAAATACTCTTAGCATTCCTAGCACTTTTGACCACTTTTTCACTGCTTTAGTAGCCTAATATTAGATATTGGTCTAGTTACAATTGAAGACTTCATATCATGCCCTATTTTTCACGACATTTGAGTTTTCTTTTCGCTGTGTCACTTGAACTACAGTGAAATGTTTGCAGTAAACTTTTGCGGACATATATCAAAAATCCCCATATTGTGAGTTGAATCAACATATATAAGCGAACAATATTGTTTTCAATTAGGACTTCGTCAGGCTTTACTCTGATATGCAATAATGTTCATATGCATATATTAAACTATTAAACCAATCAGGTCAGTGATAATGTAAGTAAATCGGAAGTACAAAATGACAGGACTAAGACAGGTGTACTAGTTGTGATAAGAATAAGATAAACCTAGTGTTTCGTAATAGGAAGAAGCTGAAACAACTTGAAAAACTAGGCCCTAGAATAACATCCATTATAAGTACAGATTACGTAATAAAAAGTGTTCAAATAATTGGGTAGTGAGGCCTATGTTTGAAAAAAGGTAGGGGGGTGGTGAAGAAAAGTAAGTGGACAAGGAATGTGGAAAATAATGATAACATGTGAATAAATAAAAGCGTTTCTTAAGGCCAATTCAGCCAAGGAAGTGATGGAGGTGTCACAAATTTCTTATGAACACAAAGACTTGGATTGTTACTGCGACTCTTTGTAGCTTCTGCGATGAGTAAGAGATGAGATTTGAACCCCATTAAGAAAGCTAGTAGGTATACGATAAATTACTTTAAATGATTTATTTCCACTTACTATATGAGTACTATTGATCATGTTTGGTAGAACTAAGCTGCGTATTGTTATGATTATGCCACTTCTTAACCACGAAGTAAGGTGTTCGCTAACTCATTGGCTCAGTTATCTGGTTGTGCGCCCGATAAGACTTTCTTCACTGGAGCAGCTGGATTTGTAGATACGTATGGATGTGGCAAAATCAGGTAACTTATCCTTTATTTGAAGAATTGCCATCGGTCATCCAGAAAACGACAAACAGAGTTTAGTTGCGTTAAACGCCCTCTTTGTTGCTTTAGTCATTTTATTTCGGAGTACATCAGCTATATCTCCGTTGAAATGTGGCTTCAGAAAGATAGACGTTTTATTAATCGTCGATGTCTCCATTTTGCTGTTCATTGTATGCAGATGTTTCTTCAGCAAACCTTGTTGATAACCCATTTGAATCAACTCATTATGAACCAGTCCAAGCTCCTTGTTTATGTTGTTGTCTGACTATATCTTCCTAGCTTGACTTGCAAGGCATGTAACTAGGTTTCTCTTTTAATGAATGGGTGCAAAGCTCAAGAAACGTGTTTACTGACTTGACGAAAACAATTCATTCAATCTGTTGACAGAACCATTCCCTTTTTTAACAACACGCCAAGAAAATGTAATTTGTTATCAAGTTCCTCCTCACAAGTAAATTTAATTACTGACTGTATATTGTTAAGTTAGTTGAAGAGTTCTTTTTTTAACAATGTTCTGACCAGCAATCATGAAAGTTAGAACAACACATATAAGTGAACAATATTGTTCGCTTATATGTGTTGTTCTAATTTTCACAATGGGAATCTTTAATAATGAAAGTATTACCAGTGTTACAATAATAAAAGTCTAGCTTGATGGTCTAAAATATAACCACAAGTACTGGAACCGAAACGTTCGGGAAACATTCATAATGTCTTAATTAACATCAACCGAAAATGTGAATAAAATCAAATTTTTTCATATTGGACAAGTTAATAAATAAACTAGACTTTAGATCTAAGGAAAAGCACACTATTCATTCTAATTACTTTTATCATAACCATACAGTATTGTTACATAACTAGACATAAATTTATTTCTTTGTTTTATCTGTAATTTCTATTCTTTAAAATTTAACAGAGATATTAATGGTATTTGTTCTCACAATTTAAATAATTGTGCAGTTGATTATTTTCATCAATGAACATTCGTATATTTGTTATTTTAGTAAAAAACATAGTATTGCATGCTTTTGGTATTACAGTTCCTAAATGACCTTGTAATCGATCGTGGTCTTTCTCCATTTATCTGTGATCTCCTTATTAAAGTGAATGGTAGAGAAGTAACTACTATAGAAGGTGACGGTAAGCAAATGTCATATTTTTCTAATGTTTGTACATATACGGTGAGAATTAGTTTTCTCATTATAAATATTAAAACAGACTTTTACGTACTAGTATAGTACCATAATAAACCGAATTTTTGGATACTACATTTTACTTATCATCGAGTATTACAGACAAATCCATTTTATATATCTCTAGGAGTTGTGGGAATTGTACTTAGTTATTTTTTTAATCAACAACGGAATCGTTCCTGTTTCTTATGGAGCTGTTCAAAAGTACAGTTAATTTGCATCAACTATTGATCTTCATTGCTATTACAGTTTCTCACTAAACTCGCTTCTCCTCAGTTGTTATTCCGATTAACTGTTACATTTTCTGGAATGTTTTCAATAAATTTTTCATCGAATTTATATCATACACGCGATACTAGATTGTGTCCAGATAATTTCTCATGTCAAAAAGTTGTATAATTATTCATAAGTTACTCTTGTAAATAAAAGACCAACCTAAATGGTAGATTAGATAAGTTTTGATTTGCTGAACCATTTTATTAACGATCACTACTATTTTTGAAATGTCTCAAAACTTCATAACAGGATCTATGGATTCCGATGCCGTCTGTATTTAATCCCTTGAAGACTCACGATTAATGTTATTATAAGTTGATTGTGGAGGTTGTTGAATTTTATAGTTTATACACGTTACTAGCGACTTGTTGTAACGAAATAAAAGATTTCTTATTCTACACTATATAATCAAATAATACTCTTTATCCGAAGTACGATAAATAGATAATCAACCTGACACACTGGATTATGATACTAGATGATTAGATCACTATATTCGATCGTGTGTTAAGCTCAGATACACTATTCGATCAGAAGTAGCAAACCGATTAAATAACTGACAAGAGTTTCTAATACGACTCTTAGCAGTTCTGACACAAGGAATCCAGAGTCCAAGTCAATCTTTCGCTCGCTGGTCAATCATGTTTTATTTTCGTTGGGCACACCTCAAATAGTTTCGAGAGTTAATCCAAGAAATTCTACAGATAAATTATCTTCTCAAACTTCAAATTTTATTGTTCCTTGTCGTATATCATTCGTATATGTTTTTACTAGATAGCGTATTAGATGATCATTAGGTTGCAGGTACTCATACGTTATGTCATGAATTCGAATTCTGTGTCCACCTAATAAAACCACCGGATTATTAACTATAATAATTCTAATAACGAGAAATAAATGAAACAAATTTACCCATTATCATTCTAAAAAAATATTTTCTTGTAAAGATAGTTGTACTTTGTGATTAAATATGGAATTTTTTAATAGGTCATTCGAAAACCTACCAACATACATGTGTATTTCTGAAAATAAAATTCAGTGATTTTTGTGGCTTCGAGAAAATAATTATATGAATTAATCATATCGTTTATTTTATTTTCTATTCATTTAACTCAATATCACTTAATTTTATCTAATTATTGATAAACTGGTTTTAAAGAGTAAGTATTTCTTACAAGATTCAACTTTTATTTTGTAAAATGCAATTCAAGTCTTGTCTAGCTCATTTATTTGTGTTGTGGTTTTTTTTTGAACTGACGAAGTTATGCAATCAGTTTGTTCATCATTATTAAGGTATATAGGGATCTCAGAAGTTCAGTACGCATGTCCCATTTTTCTTCAAGTTTCACTAAGAACGTGTGCTTTACAGGTTTTCAGATACACATAATCACTTCAGAAATTTTGTTTGGCAATCACCTGAACAATACCAATTATAGCATCAACAAAATATCTTTATGTCAAACAAAGATTGAGATAACCACATTAATGTAAGCGCTGAGCACATCTATACCTAAACCTTTTTCACGGGTTATAGCTGTTTCATGTAGCACTGAGTAGACAGTGTTTTGATTAGACCTGCATTATTAGCAACAGAAGATAAATCGATTTTTAAAGTTTAGAATCTACGATAGCCCGAAAATTTACAGTAGCACTTGCTCCGATATAGTACACTAACTAGTAGTATATCAGTATAGCGAAATAGTTTTATTAGTTTTCATGTGAATGCATGGAACTAATCAATCAAGTATCAAACTATTATGCTAAATACTATCGAAAACTGTATGAATTCAATTATTTATTTTGATGATGCTAGAAAGCAGAGGTAAAACAATTGTATTTAATGTTACTAAAATTATTCATCATCATAAACCAATTGTATACACTGTTTATTTCTGATTATTATGTTATTTTTGGCTTTTCCATGGACTTCTGTGAGTACGCTTAAGTTAATAGGACTTATTATGTTTAGATAGTAATAATAATAATAATAAACTAGTTATTTTGTTCTCTGACCATTATTTTTCAAATTTGAACTATTTATAATTTCAAAATTGATTTTATATTCCATTGAGTTAAATGTAATTACATGTAATAAATTTTAATTTGGTTTAAAAATTGACCTGTTTTTACATAAACTTTCACTTTCATAAATTTATAAAATATGTTTAAAATTCATTTATTTCAATTACTGGTCAATTATCATTGATCCTTATAATTTATCATTTAGAGATTTGGATAGGACAATAAAAATTTAATTTTTATATTGCTCAACTAAAATCGGCCTTTTTTTTCTCTGTAAAATACATTTTCAGTTTTAGATTAAATACAAAATTATTAAGAATTTCAATTATTATTCTATTTACAATTCTATTGTATAAAATTCTCCTGTACATATCAATTCGTATATTGTTGAGAAAATGATTTTCTTAACGAATGAAATAGAATTTCCACTGAGCATATTTATCTTTTCGATAGATTATGTTAGCTGAATAATCACTTGCAGTTTTTTATGCCCTAATCTCTTTAGTAATATGTATCGTGTAGAAATTTGTGATATTACATAGCTGTCTTGATAAAGATGATAAGAATAAAATTAGACTGTTGATTTGACAATTAAAAAGCTTGGTTTAATTTCACTTTCGTTTTGTTCTTTCTTTCTGATTTCGTCTTGTTCTGTCTTGGCTTTAAAAAATCTACTGGATACATTATTACTTTGATATTCATATTGATTTTATACACGGCAATATCACATTATCGTTCTTTCAGTCAGTCAGTCAGTCAGATGCAACGTAGAACTTCGTACGTAAGTACATCAGTTCATGTTGCCATACCACATCAGCACAGAGATATAATTGTCAATTCAAATCCAATAGTAGTAGAGGTAGTAAAGGTATTAGAAGTAATCAGAGAGGTTAGGATTAGAAGATATTATTCAAGAAGTATGATTCAGTGAGAAAAGTTTAGAAAGTCAAAACTAGAGGTGTTTAATAATCCAGAAGATTAGGATTTGAGAAAACACAAAGAATAAATGCACCGGCGCCATTGCAAACAGTTTTGAGCCATGTCATTCAGGGTCTCTAACCATCGATTATTATCATATCGCGGACCCCAACCAGGTAGTCGACAACTACCGACATGGCTAAGTCCACTCGTCAATGACTTCATGGATTTCTGCCATGTTTTGGTTTGGCCGCCCCTAACTTTCTTCCAACCTATTCCTACACTACAAAACAAAGCTCGTCGAGGTTATTGTTCCTTACTCATTGACTTATTGTTGAATAAACAAATGTTACTGCTGCAGACATGTTTGTTTAGTTATTTTAAAGTTTTCTTGACTAGTTATTGATACTTCTTAGGAATGCTAAAAACCTTCAGATAAATTTGACGGTTTTTCATTTATGCATCAACTTACATTTCTTGATAAAGCAAGTTTTCTCTAACTTTAATTTCTTCTCACTAACCATATAAACCGAATGGAGAAAAATACTTATTAACAGTAAATATTTAGATAGAATTTCATTTAGTTATGAATGGACGTCATTGTTTTAATTAGAGAATATGTGTTCGAACTAATATCAATAGTTTATAAGTTACGGACAACTAAAGAGTGCATTCATTCACATTCTGTTTGCGCAACTGTAATAAAGAAATATATAAAAGTACACGAATATCATGGACATTATAAAATGTTTTTTAATCGAGAAACGTAGATCAAAATACTGAGAAATCGATACGACGAACAAAATTAAACAGATCATACTATTTGTTTACACAACATGATAATCAGCCTGTAAATGTAAGCAATGTATTATTCTTCCTAGCTGCCGATTATATGTTGTTACCTAGTTCAGTCCACGTATATATGAGTGTGCATGAAGTGTAACTTTTTACAATAAAGCTATTTAAATTATATTTCTCTTCTCCCTATACTTATTTGGATTAGTCAAGAGTTATCAATGTAGGTAGTGATTGAATTGATTCGTAGATTATAACAAAAACACTGCCTAACAACTTTAAATCACGGTTTTGTCTTTCAAATAATTTACTGTTGTCTGATGAACAATTTCTTTTTTAATTTATCAGTATGTGAATTACTTGAGCTGAAATTTTTATCTTGTATATAGCTGAGGAGTAAACAACAAAATACATCGTATTTTGCAAATATTGTCTTTTAAAAAAACGCATATTGAGCCGTTTTACTGCTATCCAAAGAGTTACTCTACCTAAATCAAACAATCACAATCTGTAAGGATTGAAGTCGAGTATGTATGTGGTATTTATCACAATGAATTCATGTCATAACGCATAATTCAAGTTAAGAATCGTGCTCACTTTATTACACTTTAGATTTATAACTATGCATACAAATTATGTGTACACCTATTTGCTTATTGTTTTCCATTTTTATATGTGACTAATGTTTATAAAGCATTTTATTTTTAGTAACCATAATAATGACAGAAGACAGGCTAATAAAATTTCATACATTTACATCATAACTGATGTTTTTAAAGAGACTATTAAAAGTGTTCATTTGAATCCAATGTAACCAATTATTTCAATAAAATGTATCTAATCTGTAATGCTATTTTGTTTGACTGCTCCTAATCACTAATCTGATAAATAGTATTTTGTGTAAATGTTTTCTTATTTGTCCATTCTATTCTGTAGAAAAACTTTCTCTTCCTGACTCATTTAAAAAAGAGTAATTTGTGTTTACTTTTTCTTTTAGGTCTCATTATAAGTACACCTACTGGAAGTACAGCTTATTCAATGACTGCTGGTGCAAGTATGGTACATCCATGTGTACCTGCTCTAGTATTAACACCAATCAATTCATTAGCCTTAAGTTCACGTGCTATTGTTCTTCCAACATCTATAAAACTAGAAATCTCTATTGCCAGTAAAGCTCGTTGTTCAGCTGTACACTTTTCATTTGACGGACGTTCACGACATTCAAATTTACTGTATAAAGATGATGTTATCCTAGTGAGTGCTTCACCGTTCCCTGTCCCATGCCTTTGTAGTGAAAACGAGGTATGAATTGGTTGTTTGTGATTTATTTTTATGTTTTTGATGAACATTGAGTTGATTGTCATGTTATAACCTGTATTCTTAAACGATATAATTGTATGAATGAATTTGACTATATAAACCTTATTTGCAATTCTTATTACTGTCATTATATTTGAATTAGTTAATCCATCCGATAAGTTTTGATAATGCAATAAGAAGATGAAATTCATCAGAACTATGTGATATATTCATGTGATACATTTCAAGCAATCTAATCACATATTTATTTGTTAAAGCATTTACAAAAATAAACAAAATAAAGGTCAAGCTGCACAAACTGGAAGATAAATAAAGCCAAGTTAACGAATAAAAACATTATGAATCACAACTCTAGACAATAAATCAATGTTATCATTGTAGGTTTAGTGTAAGTATACACTATTTTTGAGCTTATCGAGTGTGTGGTGAGTCTTCTCATGACTTAATCTATTATCAAAACCATGACTGCCGTTACACAAAACCACATAAGTTGAGTTAAGATCTGTCTTATGACCTAGTTCAATCATGCGTTTGTTAATAGAAGGATATAAGTGTTTTATCAGCAAAAGAAAATGGTGATTGATTCTTTACCTACACAAACTGGTCTCACATCCTTTTGATGTATTATTTATTTTTCTCTACCACTTCTATTATAATTATTTGTCAGTTGTTGATTGTAGACTAGTACACGTTCTATTTAGGAAAACCACGTGTCCCTAATCTGAGTTGTGTTGATGTCTGGCAGGTTATTTAGTATAGAATAAGCGAGTTGTATTTACATTATCCTATCGGAGTAAAGAGAAATCTGGGAGCTATTTCATCTGCTCTTATTGGGTCACTTTATTTGTTTCTATAGCTGTTTTGGTATTTGTTCAGCCATCTTAACTTTCAGATTACAGTATGTGCTAACATCACCGTTTCGAATGGTGATGTTAGAAAGCTGTATAGTTGACTACAAGAAACGAAAACTTCGATATTCGTAGAAAATTATCACTTTTATTACTACTGTTGCAATAATTTTATGTGTATCTATCCATCTGACTTAATGTGATTAGATATTTAAGTCAACTGTAATGAAGATCTATGCAAAGCAGTTTGATTTCAAGTCCGTATATCTGGTATTTGTGAACTACATATACTTATACATCACTTAATGTACACGTGCTCCATTGGCCATATATTTTATTGAAAAACTAATAACTACTATTATTTATTTGAACAGACATAAAAATTAATGGGGTGAAATTCATTGTTTAATTATTAAACAGTTCACCAATTTAACTTCATACTATATTTACTTTTAGCTATTTTTTAGTTATCTCATGCTTTAAACCATTACATTGTTTTCACCTGATACATATTATTAATACGTTGATCTCAGCTATTTATTTATTTAACTAATTGGTAAAACAATATTAATTATCATAATACCGAAATTGTTTGTAACTGATATGTAATATTTCAAATGTAAAATTTTCACTAATAATTAAGTTCATGTTTGTATAGATTTATTACTATATTGATCAAATTGAAAATATTTTTATTACTTTTACAAATAACTGAAATGCCTTGTTTATACTTCTTAGATAAAATTTTGATTTAACAATCAACCCCCACTTTAAAAAAATATATATTCATCAATCATAGTAGTTTACACTTATTAGTAGTTTGTGTTTGTGAACGTCAACTTTATTAATACCCCCCCCCCACATACAATCTATCCTTGTATAAAATTATGTTCACAAAAAACTAAACGATTAAAGATTCTATTGAATCATAAAAATTCCAATGTCAATTCTCCTAAAAACATTACTTATTGTTATTTTTCCAATCGAAATTGCTAATTACTATTTACTGTAAACAGTATTGGTCACAGATCAAATGAGTAACTTGCATATTTATTATGTAACAATTTTTTTTAATTTTGATAGGCTCAACATGATGAAATGTTATACTGACTTATTCCATAAGAATGTTTAGTGTATTTTTATAAAATCCACATAAGAACTGTTACTCGGAAAATCAAGTTGCACTTGGAAATTCCGAGGAGAAATTTGAACTGAAGTAATGCACTTTGATAGAAGTCAGAATAAACATTAGAAACTAATTCAACAAGAGTCATAAGTTTTGCCGTTTTTAGTTAAACTATTAAACAAACAGTCAAAAGGGAATGGTTTTATTTTGAGGTACGTGGTCAACTGTAGGTTAAATTTTTGTATTATGAACTTGAAAACAATACACTGCTACTAAGCTCGACAATTAATAGTTAACAAAATTGAATTACCCTCCATGAGTCGTAGAAATAATTGTGCTGACCAACTAAGACAAAATTTCTAGAAATGCCAAGTTATCTGAAAGTAAATGATCATAAATTGAGGAGACATAATTACACATAAAAATGTAAATGAGCGTATTATGTAGCTTCTCCCAAAAGCCACTGATACAATCTCGATTTGCATGTAATTGAGATACTACTCATATTACTTGATAGTAGTATTTAGTATAACTAATGCATCAAAATTTAATTGAAACGTAAATGAATTTCAGAAATTACTGATTAATTTTGTTTTACATATATTAAAAGTTGTGTTATAATTCTAAAAATCCTTAGTTCCTCATAAACCTCAATTTTTACAGGTCACAGACTGGTTTTGTGGATTGGCACATTGTCTTAATTGGAATCTACGTCGACGCCAAAATTCAGTGATCAGCTGTTGTCCTGGATATGAATAGTTTGTAAAAATGATATGTTTCGCTTCTACTTAATGATATCTACTGTGTTTTGTCTTAAATTTTCTCAGGTCTATTTTATTATGATTTAATTTTTTTAAATTCGTTTGTTTATCTGAAAACTTACGTTTCCATGATCATGCTTCTCAATTTTTGATTAAATTTAACGAATTGTGACCTGTTCTGTCTGTTGTTTTATTAATCACTAGAATAATTAGATTTGAGCAAGGTTTCAAGACATGGTTTGGTTTCCATTGTGAGTACTTTTTGTTGAAATACCTTTTTATTAACAATGTGCAATCCTGATTAGGGATCAAATTTCCTTTGATTTTTTCATACAAAATAGTCTCATCAAACACTGATTGCATTATTTGATAGACAATCATTCCAATTACATTATTGATGGGATTTATCATTTCAGGTTCATGCTTCATCTGTATCAATAAAAATGTTCTGCAGTCTCTAACTAACTACATTGTGTTCTCTGACGTCAGACTCTGTGTAGCACCACTAATTCTCTAGTCATTTACTTGGTTACTGGAAGACAACATCTTCGCTAAGTCATCTTTGTAGATCTGAAATTCTGTGCTTGACATAATTGCTACCTCTTTCGTTTTCACTGTATATTTTGATGAATTCTTTAGATAGAGGTTCGTGGCAGTTAGATTTGTTAGATCTCGTTAGCTGGCCTTCAGGAATCAGTGTTTTGTTCACAAGCAGTCAACGCAACATCCCAAGTATTTGTTTTCTCGTCGTTGGTAAATAATGCATGATGTACATGTCCAAACCAAAGATGATGACATTGGTTAATTGTCGTTGCTGTATCCGAAAACATCTTGCCGAACCTCTGCATTTTTTTATAGTGATTGAAGACAGAAAACTTTCTAATATCTTCAACTTGGAGAGGCCGGGTTTTACGAGCATAGAACAATACTGTCCTCACCGACTCGTTGTGGACCTAACCTTTAACAGCGAGACTAACGTTGGTCTCATCACTCACGCTACCACCATCACATACACAACTACCCAGATACACGAACTTATCGATTACTTCTAACTGATCAATACCAAGAGCGGATGAAGGCACAGTATCCTACCAGTTTTGCAAAAGTACTTTGTACTCTGAAGGTGTGCAGTATATGTCGAACCTATGGTCGCTAATTGCAAACTGTTTGACCATGTCCTCATGATGAAATGACCAATTTGTTTCAGTGTAGAGAATAGTTTAATGATATTGAACCCGGCACTTCGGTCAGGCCTTTCGGTCTTCGTTGCAGCCATCCTAGTGGGAGGTATTTGAGTCGGCAGGTGATAAAACTTCATTACATCTCTTTTGGTAGTTTAACCACAAACTCTAGGAAAGACTGCATGCTCTCCAAACATCGCGGATTTCAAAGTGACGTATAGGAAAGGTCGGTAGACGCTTCAGTGAGAACAATAATTTCGAGTCACAAAGAAATATTTCACTTGGCATGGGAGATGAGTTTTAGAAATGATCTATTTTCGTCACACAAACTAACTTATCTTGAAGTCCTCTGATTCGTTGCCTCATCAGTTACACTAGAATGGATCGAACTAGGTAAATGTGTTTTTATATAGCTTAATACGAGTGACCCAGAATGGCATTGTACGTGATAGAAAAAGCGTTGTTTGAACAATTCGGATGAACTTTCCTGTGTTAGGTTTTGTCCTTGGACTAAATACTGAACTTTCAGTTACTTCAATCGACAAGAATAATCCTAACAAAATGTGATCGAAATTCGTCAGCAAGAATATGCTGGGATAGTAGTAATAAAACTATCTTGTGGGCAATTTTAATCATTGTTGGGAGTTTTAATAATTCTATGCAGTATATGCAATCACTGCTAACTAAGGAATATTTTTCAAGTTGATCCATTATTCCTGCTCACTATAAGGATGTCGAGCAAGGTTACTTACACCGACATATTCTCTTTTCCTGGTGATATACTGAATTATGAAGACGTCAACGTCATCGGCACTGATGAGACTCCCAAGATAAGTGAAGCGGTCTACACGTTCGACTACTTCACTCCCTATCACTAGTTCAGGTGCCGATGAAATCCAATCTTGAAGCAGCATTTTGCATTTCGAGGGGGAAAACCGCATCCCGAACATGCTTGCATTGTTGCTTAGGGTAGTCAGAAGACTCTGCATTTTGTCAGCATCTTCACCAAGTAGGACTATGTCATCGGCATATTCTAAGTCAATAAGCGAGCCACCTGGTAGAAGGTCTACTCCAGAAATTTCAGACGAGTATAATGTTATGTCTAGGAGCATGTTTATGACAAAATTAAACAAGAATGGAGAAAGTAGACATCCTTGATGGACAACACTTGAAGTGAAGAATTCCGGTGACAGTTCGCCATAAGCTCTCACTCGACCAGTAGTGTTCGAGTAGAGAGCTTGTATAAGGTTAATGTACTTCTTTGGTACACCTTTCAATGACAGACACTGCCACAGAACCACACGATCAACAGAGTCAAATGCCGCCTTAAGGTCCAGGAAAACAACTATTGTACTTACTTACTTTCGCCTGTTACCCCCAATGGAGCATAGGCCGCCCACCAGTTTTCTCCAACCAACTCTGTCCTGGGCTTCTTCCTCCAGTTCTGTCCAATGTTTGTTCATTCCTCTCATATCTTTCTCTATTTCACGGCGTAATGTATTCTTTGGCCTTCCTCTTTTCCTTTTGCCTTGAGGGTTCCATGTGAGGGCTTGTCTCGTGAGGCAGTTAGGTGCTTTTCGTAGAGTGTGTCCTATCCACTTCCAACGCTTCTTCCTGATTTCCTCTTCCACTGGAATCTGACTTGTTCTCTCCCACAGTTCGTTGTTGCTGATGGTGTCTGGCCAACGAATACGAAGTATTTTACGTAGACAGCTGTTAATAAACACTTGTATCCTCTGGATGATGGCTTTGGTAGTTCTCCATGTTTCCGCTCCATACATTAGAACTGTCTTGACATTTGTATTGAAAATCCTTATTTTGGTGTTGATTGATATCTGTTTGGAGTTCCAGATATTTTTCAACTGTAGAAATGCAGCCCTTGCTTTGCCAATCCGTGCCCTCACATCTGCATCCGATCCACCTTTCTCGTCGATGATGCTGCCCAGATATGTAAAGGTGTTAACGTCCTCCAAGGCATCTCCATCAAGAGTGATTTGATTGGTGCATGTTGTGTTGCATCGGAGAATTTTGCTCTTTCCTTTATGTATGTTGAGACCTACTGCTGCAGAGGCTGCTGCTACACTCGTCGTCTTCTCTTGCATTTGTTGTTGAGTGTGCGATAGAAGAGCCAGATCATCTGCGAAGTCCAGATCGTCCAGCTGCGTCCTAACTGTCCAGTTGATACCGTGCTTCCCTCCAGCTGTTGACGTTTTCATAATCCAGTCGATCACCAGGAGAAAGAGGAAGGGTGAAAGTAAGCAACCTTGCCTGACACCGGTCTTTACCTCGAAAGAGTCGGTTAGCTGTCCTCCGTGCACGATTTTGCAGTTGAATCCATCATAAGAGTTCCGTATGATGTTAACTATTTTCTCAGGCACACCGTAGTGTCGAAGAAGCCTCCACAGTGTTTTCCTATCCACGCTATCGAATGCTTTCTCATAGTCGATGAAGTTGATGTAGAGTGGTGAGTTCCATTCAATTGATTGTTCCACAATGATCCGTAATGTAGCAATTTGGTCAGTACACGATCGATCCTTCCGAAATCCGGCCTGTTGATCTCGAAGTTGGGAATCTACGAAGTCCTTCATTCTGTTTAACAATACCCTGTTGAAGACTTTGCCTGGTATTGAAAGAAGAGTGATGCCTCTGTAGTTTTCACACTTGCTGAGGTCGCCTTTCTTTGGTATTTTGATCAGGTATCCTTCCTTCCAGTCTGATGGTACTTGTTCCTCATACCAAATCTTCTTGAAGAGGATGTGAAATATTTTCGCGGTTGCTTCTACATCTGCTTTCATTGCCTCTGCTGGAATGTTGTCTGGTCCTGCTGCTTTGCCGTTCTTGATTTGTCTGATGGCCATACTGATCTCCTCAATCGTAGGTGCGCCAATATTAATTGGGAGGTCCGTCGATGCTGCTTCGATGTTGGGTGTCTTCAGAGGAGCTGGTCGATTTAGGAGTTCCTTAAAGTGCTCTACCCACCTATTTCGCTGTTGTTCAGTGTTGCTGATTACTTTGCCTTCCTTGTTTTTCACTCGTCGTTCTGGTTTACGATAGTTCCCGGCGAGCTTCTTTGTAGTTTCATACAATTGTCTCAAGTTTCCGTCTCTTGCAGCCTTTTCCGCCGTCGTTGCTAGATCTTCCACGTATTTTCGTTTGTCAGCTCTGATGCTCTTCTTCATTTCCCTGTTTGCTTCTGTGTATGCAGCTTGTGCGGTAACTTTCTCCGCTCTTGTTCGGCTGACATTGATTGCTGCTTTCTTGTTCCTCCTTTCTTCAATTTTTGCTAGAGTATCAACAGAGATCCATTCCTTATGATGCTGCTTCTTGCGACCAAGGACCTCCTGACATGTTGAAGTGATTGCCTCCTTAATCCCTTTCCAATTGTTCTCCAATGTTGTGTCCTCTCCATTGTGTAGATCCTGTAAGGCCTGGAACCTATTGATGAGGGCTATCTTGAATTCGTTGAGCTTTACAGTATCCCGAAGAAAGGCCGTATTAAACTTGTGTGATGTTGTCTGTCCCGTTGTCCAGTGCTTCTTTAGTTTCAGTTTCATTTTGGCGATTAGCAAATGGTGATCTGAAGCTACATCAGCTCCTCTCCTGGTTCTCACATCCTCCATAGTCCTTCTGAACGTTTTGTTGATACAGATATGATCAATCTGGTTTTGAGTAGTGTGATCCGGTGAAATCCATGTGGCTTTGTGAATGCGTTTGTGCGGGAATATTGTGCCACCGATGACCAGTTTGTTGAAGGCACATAGGTTTGCAAATCTCTCACCGTTTTCGTTCGTTTCTCCCAGTCCATGTCGTCCCATGATGTCTTCATATCCAGTGTTGTCCATTCCAACCTTGGCATTCAGGTCTCCCATAAGAATCGTCAAATCCTTTGGTGAACATTTATCGACGATTGACTGCAGCCTTTCGTAGAATTGATCTTTGTCGTCGTCATTGTAGTCGTTGGTAGGTGCATAACATTGGATGACGTTCATTGTAATGTCCTCTTTCTTTGTTTTGAAGGATGCTTTAATGATCCTGGGTCCATGAGATTCCCATCCTATTAGTGCCTTTTGTGCATGTTTGGACAGCATCAATGCAACTCCTTGTGTATGTGAAGCATTTTCCTCTTCATGACCAGAGTATAACAGCAGTTCCCCTGAAGCTAGTCTCAGTTGTCCTACTTGTGTCCAATGTGTTTCACTGATTCCAAGCACCTCGCGGTTGTATCTTCTCATTTCTGCCGCAACTTGAAATAGTCTTCCAGTCTCCCACAATGTACGAACGTTCCATGTACCTAAAAAAAATGGTTGCTCTGGTTGTCAG